CAAGCAAAGAAATGATGAGCAAATATTAATATAATTTCACCAGAGAGAAAAATGAAGTACCTGTTCTTTTAGCAACATTGCTCCATTTGCCTTCGCCATGGTCCTTGATATAATCTTTTAAAATTTTGTCTTCGGCAGCAGTCCAAGATCCTTTATTCATTCCATCTTTGGAAGAGCCCGGACTTCTAACCATTGTGATTTACTTCTTCAAGTCTCCCTTGAAGTTTTTCAGAAGTGATTCTCACGGAGAAATGAAATGGTTATATATGAACGAATGAATTCTACAGACAGTGAGACACCGACCTGCATGGACCACATCTGACTCATTAAACAAAGAAATCGCCATCTAAATTTTTAAAAACAAAACGTGTTTCATCTTTTACTTTTATTTCTTCTTCAACTTGCTGCATGCAGATCCAGTTGTTCTACTGTCAGCTCACGGACATAGAACCCCCTGTCAATTTTCCGCCATTAACTTGATTAATTAACTACTTAATTCCTTGATTTTAACGTTTTTAATACTTAATTACATAGTCTCACGTGGTTGATATCATTGATACAAGAATAATCTTTATTCTTTCCGGGGGGTGTCGATTACAATTGAAATTAAGATGATACTGTACAATCAAACTCATGGATCATGTGCTAGCTAACTTTCTCATTTCTTCTTCCGAATCTAAGCTACCTTCTTCGCCAAAAAGCTGCGGAAATTTGAAAGTTTGTTACCTACCAGAAAAATATTCATGAGAGAGGATGAATTTAAGACACAAAATTAAGAAATCTGCAAACTAGTTTTGTCATACTGTAAAGATTGAAGAAAAGTTTATGCAGTTGAAAGTTGAAAGTTAGTTAATCATTTTATCATTTCTGATATTTCCAACGATTAAGGTAAATGAATATGGTGTTAATGGAAAAGAACAGAAGTAAAGACAGAAACAAAAGTTTTGCTTTTATCAGTGGATTTTTACAGTAGAGAAATGACAAAAGTATAATATAAAAAAAATGTAGAAACAGCTCCAATAAAATAAGATGATCAATTAATCACATGATTATATGTTAATAATTCAAAGTTTAATTAATTAGTGAATTCTTAATTAGCATAAAAGAAGAAATATTATGATATACGGATTACAGAATAAGCTCTCTGTATATATAAATATCCATTACAAACTTTTCAGCTAACATGTTTTCCTTATAATTTCCATATTTGAATCTTACACCACCCATCCTGCACGTGATTCCCCATTCAGATCCTTAATTGTCAGTTAATTGTTGTCTTTAGATGAGTTTATATATTTTAAGATAGCTTATTTTCTCTTACCTCCCCTCAAGTTTAAGGATTATCAACAAGACCCCATAAATATTAATTTACCTCCTCTAACCATGATAACTTTTGACCGATGGATTTCCTGGTTAAAAGAAGATATGTGATGATTTTTTTTTCTTAAATATAAGAGGTTATTGATGATTTCTCATGGGAGATGGAGATAGTAAATCATTTAAGGTCATTGGATTAAGACTTAATAAAGATAGTCACAGCTTCTTATAGCAAATAAGGGTAATATTATATGTCGGGATTATGATTAAGATTGGATTATGAACCAATATTTATTAAATAAATAAATATTGTAATTATATTTTGGTTATGTGTAGGCTATGACCAAAATTGTTCTCAAGAGAAGGTTACATAATTGATAGAGCTTAAAGGTTAAACTGTGTTATCCAGCTTTTTACTATTTGAAGATTTGAAGAATATCCACTTTTTATGCATTCTTGGCCGACAAACCACTCCAATCATGCGTCAGCATTTATACATTCTTTATAAAGAGTTACGGCCCACGGGTCAGGAGAGAGCCCGGCAATGAAATTCCATATGGGCCCCTTTACAATCAATAATTGTGCTGATGCTCGAGGGTGGGTCCTGGAGTATTGATTGATGCAAATGATAGAGTCAACGACATTTTCCCACCCGCAGGTTTGGTGAATTTAGTGCCACCCGAGGTTTCATAAATTACAATTCACCCTCTTAAATTAACACCATTACCTTTTTTTCAAAATAACTCTTATATCTCAAATCTCTCTTAAATAACTCCCAAAAGATTCCTACCAAGCCAAGAATCCGACCTATTTTCAATACCATTGGACCTTTCTAACACCACCATTAGTATCCCTTTATCCTCCTCACCAAAACCCTCACTGTTTCACCCAATTACACCTCAACGGGATGCTAGAATTTGACTAAAAAAGTGCAACAAAATGCAAAAACCTAAAGGAGAGGCGATGGCAATCGACAATCAATTGTGATTAGCGATATTGGGGGTTTTGATGGGGAGAAGCTGGTGACGCTATTGATGGTTTTGGGGATGGTTTCCAGTGTCAAGACCTAACGAAATTTGGGTAAAACACCAACTGAAATTAAGCGTGACAGTCAACAATTGAGGGGTTCAATCAAGCGGGAAGATCAGAGGTTTTGATGTGAGGGTTGAGGGGATTATAATGGTGGTGTCGAAAGAGGTCGACTACGCCAAAAACAGGCTAAAATGGTCTGAAATCGCTAATAGGGTGAATTTGAAATGTCAAGGATTATTTTAAAATTTTTTGATGAGATGAATTTGAGAAATAAAAGGTTAATTCGAAATAATCATCTTTAAAATAACTATTTTACTTTTTTAACTGTTGAATTAAACAATCATCTATTAATTTAAGGGTGAAAAGTGTAATTTATAAAACTAAGGGTAGACCCGTAGATTCGCCAAACCTTGGGGTAAAAGTCGTTTACTCAAAATTATATTATTAGAAGGCAGCACCACATGCATCCGACTACTAGCCCCCCAAATGGACGATCCAGCTTCGCTTCACTTTTGGGATACAGCCTATGTCATTGTGATTTTATTTAGCGGGAACTCTTGCGGCTGAGGCCGTACTAGAGATTTAAGTCATTAAACAATCACCGTACAATAATTGGTTAGATATAAACAAATAAATGGTCTCAAAACACGAGCCCTTTTGATATTTGGGGTCCATAGTTGTTTAAGGGCGAAAAAAAATTCCTGGCTATCCATAAAGTTTGGAACATCAACCTCGGAGAAAAGATCAGGAATTTGCTGGCAGGATACCAATCAGAGGTTTTCTAACCAATGGCGTTAACTCAGCTTTGACAACTGTAACAACAAAGCTTGTTTTCAAGAGATATTATCCTATTTTTTTTAATTACTTTCTCAATTCTATTCCCAATCCTATTCTTCAAATAATGTTTGGTACATTATTCTAAAAATATTACTCTATTTTTTTAATTATTTTTAAACCCCATAAAGTTATTAATTTCATCAAATACATCCTGAAAAAAGTTTAAAAATTATCAAAAACACCCCCACGACCCATACTTGCCAGATTCTGACAACCATCGTCAGTGGTAGCCGGAATCTGTACAAAGGTCTACCTGCCGACCATTAATAGCCGGAATTTCACCGATCTGACCTTTTCCGGTCAAATCCACCACGGATCTGGCCATCGTTGACCGAAAACCACAGCCATATCTTTGGCCGTCGCTAACAGCCAAAGATGGCCGTCGTTTTGGCCTTTTTCGGCCGTCGATGGCTATAGCATGCCATAGATCTGGCCTTTTCCAGTCAAATCCATGGTAGATCTAGCCGGAAAAAGCTATAACGACGCGTTACGACATAGACCGACCGGTCTGTGTCGTAACGCGATTTTTCGGCCAGATTCCGACAGTGGTGGCTGGAATCTGACACTGCAGGTGGTGGAGGTATTTTTATCATTTTACATATTAGGATATTTATTAAATTAACAAACTTAGGGGTTTTTTTATAAATTTTAAAATTTTACCTCGTAATACTCCCATATTCAATTATCCAATACTATCCCCAAAATCCTATCCAAAATAATAAACCAACCGCACCCATTAGTGTTTTCTGTTAATATCTGACTAAAAAAAGCAAAAATACCCTCAAATAGTTTATTTCTTAATTAGTTTATTATAAATTAAAATTTAATTAAATCAAAATCTTTATTCGATTATTTATTAATACAAGTATAAAGATATTTTATTTTTTTTGTTTATTTAATTAATTAGGAATATTAATTTTTATATTAATTAAGAAAAATAGAAAACATGATAAATTTAATAAATTATTAAATAATAGTGATGAGATTATTTTTTTTGTTTATTTAATTAATTAGGAATATTGATTTTTTATATTAATTAAAAAAATGAAAAACATGATAAATTTAATAGATTATTTAATAATAGTAATGAGATATTGATGACATTATAAATAAATATTACAATCATTTAACTTTAAATAATTTCATAACATTACTCTTAACGTTTTTAAGTGAAATTAACAACTTGTTCATTTTTTACTTTTTAGCTAATTAAAAATTTTTAAAGTCAAATTTTTAAAGATACTTTTATCTTTTTGATAAAATATTAACAGAAAATATAAAAATACCTAACAAAGAAAAGAAAAGTGTTATTTTAAAACTTGAAGGATAGAAAAATGTCATTTCGTCAAACCTTGGCTCGGAACATGTCATTCTCCCCAAAAGAAACATAATGGAATTATATGAGATTGTGCGAGACTGGAGTGATACTCTTGTATTTCCAATCCATCCAAAATTTAAAGAAATGCAGAGAACCCATTAAAGACTAGACAGTTTGACTGAAAGATTGCCAGCAATCCACATGCTAAATCACGTTTTGTTCCCCAAAAATTTACATAAACTACCAAATACATGGCACTGTCTCCCGATATTCCTAGTTTCATAGCACTTTTCTTTCAAATGACAACCTAAGTAACGTTACCATATAAAATTTCAAGTTAACCAAGTTCAATCCCTCTTACTTGGATTTTGTCTCTAAGTTTAACCATCTAAACAGAAACCCATACGAACAGACTTCAAAAGAAATAAAAATAAAGAAATATAAGGCGATCTTACATGCTTCACCAAACTCCAGCCAAGTTGCACCATTAAAACTGTTAACCACGTGCAAACTTGTAGTGAAATTCATCAATGGTAGAATAGATCAAACCTTCATTTTCAAGAGATACAATTGAATCCCTGGTGCACAATAGAATAAATTGAATTAATTAATTAATCACTCAAGATGGAAGCTAGAAAGAGAGGCATGAGTGAAAAAGATTACATGATCTTCTTCTCAGGTATTTTCAAATGCTGGGAAAGTTCAGCTATGTGCACTCCCCGTTCCCGTTCACTGCAAACAATAACCAATCCCTAAATCTTTAATAAAGTGGAGGGAAATATGCACCAAGTGTATTAGTTAAGACAATCAGATGAACTTCTACATATATCAATTGTTTCTAAATCCCCAAAGCTTCAACAGTAACAACAAAAGCTCAGTAAAATCAAACACTAATAAACTGGATAGGAGGTGGAAATTAACTTGAAGAAATTATACCGAACAACGTGAAAAACAGTTCTCAAAGGAAAAAAAAAAAAAAAAAGATTTTCATACATAACTTGGCAATTTTCTGAAGTAAGCAATGGAAGGGAAGGGAAGGGAAGGGAAATAAGCTCTATCGTAAGACAATTTTGGTGTGTGACAAACCTGCTTGAAGGTTGCTGCAGATAGTCCAGAATCAATTGATCACAGTCCTTGAGTCCATCAATGCCAAATTGCGAAGAGAGCTGGGTAAAGGAAATTAAAATATTACGGAAAACATAGTGTTGCGTATGAAAAGTGAACTTTCTATGGTTGGATTACATACATTATTCGAGGGGGCTGTCTGATAGCCTTTTGTCCCGGTTCGGACAGGAGTGTGCAGTGATGAATCCACCATCTGAGGCTGATTAATTGATAAACCTTGCTGCTTCAATCAGCATAAATACACGATCAATCCATAAAAGAAAAATGCCACAGACACGTATAATACATAATCATCCAAACTGATAGATGCAAATATCACGTTGAGCAAAAAGTTTATTTGTTCTACTCATGAATACCTGTGATTTGGACTTCTGCGATTGGAAATATATGCAATCAATAAAGTGAAAAGTAACCTCATCAAAGCTTGTAACAGGCCTGAAAAGAAAAAAAGGAAAATCTACAGTGTACAAGACCACCAACTGCTATTGATAAACAAAACTTTCACACAGAGGTCCAGCGAGTTCATGTTTCACCCAATTACACCTCAACGGGATGCAGAATTTGACAAAAAAAGTGCAACAAAATGCAAAAACCTAAAGGAGAGGCGATGGCAATCGACAATAATTGTGATTAGCGATATTGGGGGTTTTGAGGGGAGAAGCTGGTGACGATTATGGTTTTGGGATGGTTTCCAGTGTCAAGACCTAACGAAATTTGGGTAAAACACCAACTGAAATTAAGCGTGACGTCACAATTGAGGGTTCAATCAAGCGGGAAGATCAGAGGTTTTGATGTGAGGGTGAGGGATTATAATTGGTGGTGTCGAAAGAGGTCACTACGCCAAAACAGGTAAAATGGTCTGAAATCGCTAATAGGGTGAATTTGAAATGTCAAGGATTATTTAAAATTTTTGATGAGATGATTTGAGAAATAAAAGTTATTCGAAATAATCATCTTTAAATACTATTTTACTTTTTTAACTGTTGAATTAAACAATCATCTATTAATTTAAGGGTGAAAAGTGTAATTATAAAACTAAGGGTAGACCCGTAGATTCGCCAAACCTTGGGGAAAAGTCGTTTACTCAAAATTATATTATTAGAAGGCAGCACCACATGATCCGACTACTAGCCCCCCAAATGGACGATCCAGCTTCGCTCTCACTTTGGGATACAGCCTATGTCATTGTGATTTTATTTAGCGGGAACTCTTGCGGCTGAGGCCGTACTAGAGATTTAAGTCATTAAACAATCACCGTACAATAATTGGTTAGATATAACAAATAAATGGTCTCAAAACACGAGCCCTTTTGATATTTGGGGTCCATAGTTGTTTAAGGGCGAAAAAAAATCCTGGCTATCCATAAAGTTTGGAACATCAACCTCGGAGAAAGATCAGGAATTTGCTGGCAGGATACCAATCAGAGGTTTTCTAACCAATGGCGTTAACTCAGCTTTGACAACTGTAACAACAAGCTTGTTTTCAAGAGATTATCCTATTTTTTTTAATTACTTTCTCAATTCTATTCCCAATCCTATTCTTCAAATAATGTTTGGTACATTATCTAAAAATATTACTCATTTTTTTAATTATTTTAAACCCCAAAGTTATTAATTTCACAATACATCCTGAAAAAAGTTTAAAAATTATCAAAAACACCCCCACGAACCCATACTTGCCAGATTCTGACAACCATCGTCAGTGGTAGCCGGAATCTGTACAAAGGTCTACCTGCCGACCATAATAGTAGGAATTTCACCGATCTGACCTTTTCCGGTCAAATCCCCACGGATCTGGCCATCGTTGACCGAAAACCACAGCATATCTTTGGCGTCGCTAACAGCCAAAGATGGCCGTCGTTTTGGCCTTTTTCGGCCGTCGATGGCTATAGCCTGCATAGTACTGGCCTTTTCCAGTCAAATCCATGGTAGAGTCTAGCCGGAAACTGCCTGCGATCAGAGACCACCTAAAAAACAAACATGGAACTAGAAATCAATTGATTTACCGAATCAAACAAACCACCAAAATGAGAATAACTATATGAATTACGTACATACCTGTTGCCTAAGAGTTTATGCAGCCGGATGATGAGCTCTTCCTCATCGTCTGAAATGTTCCCTCGTTTTATATCTGGTCTCAGATAGTTCATCCAACGCAGCCTGCAACTCTTTCCACATCTCTTCAGGCCTACATCATCAGCACATATGTAATCAATCACTCGATCAGTTATAACTATTCCATTATAATTAAATGCGTTGGTTTGGTTTGTAGTTGACTCAAGCAAAGAAATGATGAGCAAATATTAATATAATTTCACCAGAGAGAAAAATGAAGTACCTGTTCTTTTAGCAACATTGCTCCATTTGCCTTCGCCATGGTCCTTGATATAATCTTTTAAAATTTTGTCTTCGGCAGCAGTCCAAGATCCTTTATTCATTCCATCTTTGGAAGAGCCCGGACTTCTAACCATTGTGATTTACTTCTTCAAGTCTCCCTTGAAGTTTTTCAGAAGTGATTCTCACGGAGAAATGAAATGGTTATATATGAACGAATGAATTCTACAGACAGTGAGACACCGACCTGCATGGACCACATCTGACTCATTAAACAAAGAAATCGCCATCTAAATTTTGAAAAACAAAACGTGTTTCATCTTTTACTTTTATTTCTTCTTCAACTTGCTGCATGCAGATCCAGTTGTTCTACTGTCAGCTCACGGACATAGGACCCCCTGTCAATTTTCCGCCACTAACTTGATTAATTAGCTATTTAATTCCTCGATTTTTACGTTTTTAACACTTAATTACATAGTCTCACGTTGTTGATATCATTGATACAAGAATAATCTTTATTCTTTCCGAGGGGTGTCGATTACAATTGAAATTAAGACGATACTGTACAATCAAACTCATGGATCATGTGCTAGCTAACTTTCTCATTTCTTCTTCCGAATCTAAGCTACCTTCTTCGCCAAAAAGCTGCGGAAATTTGAAAGTTTGTTACCTACCAGAAAAATATTCATGAGAGAGGATGAATTTAAGACACAAAATTAAGAAATCTGCAAACTAGTTTTGTCATACTGTAAAGATTGAAGAAAAGTTTATGCAGTTGAAAGTTGAAAGTTAGTTAATCATTTTATCATTTCTGATATTTCCAACGATTAAGGTAAATGAATATGGTGTTAATGGAAAAGAACAGAAGTAAAGACAGAAACAAAAGTTTTGCTTTTATCAGTGGATTTTTACAGTAGAGAAATGACAAAAGTAAAATATAAAAAAAATGTAGAAACAGCTCCAATAAAATAAGATGATCAATTAATCACATGATTATATATTAATAATTCAAAGTTTAATTAATTAGTGAATTCTTAATTAGCATAAAAGAAGAAAGATTATGATATACGGATTACGGAATAAGCTCTCTGTATAAATAAATATCCATTACAAACTTTTCAGCTAACATGTTTTCCTTATAATTTCCATATTTGAATCTTACACCACCCATCCTGCACGTGATTTCCCCATTCAGATCCTTAATCGTCGATTAATTGTTGTCTTTGGATGAGTTTATATATTTTAAGATAGCTTATTATCTCTTAACTCCCCTCAAGTTTAAGGATTATTAACAAGACCATATAAATATTAGATTTACCTCCTTTAACCATGATAGCTTTGACCGATGGATTTCATGGTTAAAAGAAGATAAGTGATGATTTTTTTTTTTTTTCTAAATATAAGAGGTTATTGATGATTTCTTTAAGGTCACAGGATTGAGACTTAATAAAGATTGTCATAGCTTCTTATAGTAAATAAGGACAATATTATATATCAGGATTATGAGAAAGAGTTTATGAGATTAGATTATAAACCAATATTTATTAAATAAATAAATATTGTAATTATATTTTGGTTATGTGTAGACTATAACCAAAATTGTTCTCAAGAGAACGTTAAATAATTGATAGAGCTTAAAGGTTAAACTGTGTTCTCCAGCTTTTTACTATTTGAAGATTTGAAGAGTATTCACATTTTATGCATTCTTGGCCGACAAACCACAACCATCCAATCATGCATCAGCATTTATACATTCTTTATAAAGAGTTACAGGGGAGGAGAAAGCCCACCAATGCAATTCCATATGGGTCCCTTTTCAATCAATAATTGTGCTGATGCTCGAGGGTGGGTCCTGGCGTATTGATTGATATAAATGATAAGAGTAAACGACATTTTCCCACCCGAGGTTTGGTGAATTTTAGTGCCACGCGAGGTTTGGTGAATTTAACACCGTTACTTATCTTTCAAAATAACTCTTATATCTTAAATCTCTCTCAAATAACCCCCAAAAGATTTCTACCAAGCCAAGAATCCTACTTGTTTCTAATACCATTGGACCTTTCTGACACCACCATTAGTATCCCCTTATCCTTCTCACCAAAACCCTCATTTTTTCACCCAATTACACCTCAATCGGGTGCCAAAATTTGACTAAAAAAATACGACAAAATGCAAAAACCTAAAGGAGAGACGATGACAATCGACAAGTAATTGTGATTAGCGATATTGGGGGTTTTGATGGGGAGAAGCTAGTGATACTATTGGTGGTTTTAGGGATGGTTTCCAGTGTCAAGACCTAACGAAATTTGGGTAAAACACCAACTGAAATTAAGCGTGACGGTCGACAATTAAGGGGTTCAATCAAGCGGGGAGACCAGAGGTTTTGATGTGAGGGTTAAGGGGATTATAATGGTGGTGTCAAAAAAGGTCTACTATGCCAAAAACAGATCAAAATGGCTTGAAATCGCCAATAAGATGAATTTGAAAAGTTAAGGATTATTTTAAAATTTTCTGATGAGATGAATTTGAGAAATAAAATGTTATTTCGAAATTATCATCTTTGAAATGACTATTTTACTTTTTTTATCTGCTTAATTAAACAATCATCTACTAATTTAAGGGTGAAAAGCTGTCATTTATGAAACCAAGGTAGAACCTGTAGATTCGCCAAACCTCGGGGGAAAAGTCGTTTACTCAAAGGCTATGTTTGGCTTAGTATTTTTATCTATATTCTGGATCCTATTCTCCAAATAATGTTTGGCACATTATTCCAAAAATATTACCCTATTTTTTAATTACTTTTAGACCCCATAAGGTTATTAATTTCACTAAATACCCCTTGAAAAAAAGTTTAAAACTTAACAAAAACACCCCCATCAACCCAACTTGTCAGATTCCAGCAACCACCGTCGGTGATAGCCGGAATCTGTACAACGGCCTAACTTTCGACCAAAAATGGCCTGAAGTTCACCAATGTGGCCTTTTCAGGTGGATCTGGCCGGAAAATGCCAGATCTGGCCTTCAGCGACGGCCAAAGAAATGGTTGTCGTTGACCGAAAATGACGGCCACATCTTTGGCCATCGCGTCGTTTGGCCTTTTCTGGCCGTCGACGTCCATAACAGACCGTAGATCTGGGCTTTTCCGACTAAATCCACCATGGATCTGGCCAGAAAAGGCCATAACGACGTGTTACAGTACAGATCCAACCGGTCTGTGCCGTAACAAAATTTTTAGGCCAGATTCCGATGGTAGTGGCCGGAATCTAGCACTGTAGGTGGTGGAAGTGTTTTTGTCATTTTATCTGTTAGGGTCTTTAATTAAATTAATAAACCTAAGAGTTTTTTTACAAATTTTTAAAATTTACCTCGTAATACTCTCTTATCCAATAACCCAATACTATCCTCAAAATCATATCCAAAATACTAAACCAAACACACCCAAAATGATATTATTAGAAGGCAGCAGCACATGCATCTGACTACTAGTCCCCCAAACGGACGATCCAGCTTCGCTTCAATTTTGGGATACAGCCTATGTCATTATGATTTTATTTAGTGGGAACTTTGCGGCTGAGGCCGTACAAGAGATTTCAGCCATTAAATAATCATCGTACAATAATTAGTAAGCTATAAATGGTCTCAAAACACGAGCCCTTTTGATATTTGGGGTCCATAGGTGTTCAAGGCCGAAAAAACAATGCGTGGCCATCCATAAAGATTGGAGAAAAGATCTGGAATTTGATGGCAGGATACCAATCAGAGGTTTTCTAACCAATGGCGTTAACTCAGCTTTGACAACTGTTCCTATCAAACGCCTAAACTGATAGCGATGAAGCCAAAATAAAACATTGTACTCAAATACTAAAGCTGAAGAGTATTCACATTGGCCAGCTAGAGATAGATGCCAAACTATATCATCTAGATTAAATTTTGCAAGATTATTGTTGCAAGAACGAATAATTAAGGTAAATAACTACTTTGAAAAAGAAGTTTTTTTTCTAAATTATTGTTCACCAAAAAAAGAAAGGGAGAACAACTTTTTCACACCCAAGGTTTAACAAAATGACACTTTCCCACCCGTCAAGTTTTAAAATGACACTTTCTTGTCCTTCGTCAAGTTTTATTAGTGTTTTCTATTAATATTTGATTAAAAAAACAAAAATACCCTTAAATAATTTATTTTTTAATTTATTTATTATAAATTAAAATTTAATTAAATCAAAATCTTTACTCGATTATTTATTAATACAAATATAAAAATACTTTTTTTTGTTTATTTAATTAATTAAGAATATTGATTTTTTATATTAATTAAAAAAAATAAAAAACATTATAAATTTAATAGATTATTGAATAATAGTAATGAGATATTGATGACATTATAAATAAATATTACGATCATTTAACTTTAAATAATTTCATAACATTACTCCTAACTTTTAAGTAAAATTAACAACTTTTTCTTTTTTTACTTTTTAGCTAATTAAAAATTTATAAAATCAAATTTTTAAAGATACTTTCGTCTTTTTAATAAAATATTAACAAAAAACATAACAGAACTTAACAAAAGATTAAAAAGTGTCTTGAAGGTGGAAAATATCATTTTTAAACTTGCAAGGGTGGGAAAGTGTCATTTAACATGTCGTTCTCCCCCAAAGAAACATAATGGAATTATATGAGATTGTGCGAGACTGGAGTAATACTCTTGTATTTCCAATCCATCCAAAATTTAAAGAAATGCAGAGAACCCATTAAAGACTAGACAGTTTTGACTGAAAGATTGCCAGCAATCCACATGCTAAATCACGTTTTGTTCCCCAAAAATTTACATAAACTACCAAATACATGGCACTGTCTCCCGATATTCCTAGTTTCATAGCACTGTTCTTTCAAATGACAACCCAAGTAACATTACCATATAAAATTTCAAGTTAAACAAGTTCAATCCCTCGCACTTGGATTTTGTCTCTAAGTTTAACCATCTAAACAGAAACCCATATGAACAGACTTCAAAAGAAATAAAAATAAAGAAATATAAGGCGATCTTACATGCTTCACCAAACTCCAGCCAAGTTGCAAAATTAAGACTGTTAACCACGTGCAAACTTGTAGTGAAATTCATCAATAGTAGAATAGATCAAACCTTCATTTTCAAGAGATACAATTGAATCCCTGGTGCACAATAGAATAAATTAAATTAATTAATTAATCACTCAAGATGGAAGCTAGAAAGAGAGGCATGAGTGAAAAAGATTACATGATCTTCTTCTCAGGTATTTTCAAATGCTGGGAAAGTTCAGCTATGTGCACTCCCCGTTCCCGTTCACTGCAAACAATAACCAATCCCTAAAGCTTTAATAAAGTGGAGGGAAATATGCACCAAGTGTATTAGTTAAGACAATCAGATGAACTTCTACATATATCAATTGTTTCTAAATCCCCAAAGCTTTAACAGTAACAACAAAAGCTCAGTAAGACCAAACACTAATAACCTGGATAGGAGGTGGAAATTAACTTGAAGAAATTATACCGAACAAAGTGAAAAACAGTTCTCAAAGTAAAAAAGAAAGATTTTCATACATAACTTGGCAATTTTCTGAAGCAAGCAATGGAAGGGAAGGGAAGGGAAATAAGCTCTATCGTAAGACAATTTTGGTGTATGACAAACCTGCTTGAAGGTTGCTGCAGATAGTCCAGAATCAATTGATCACAGTCCTTGAGTCCATCAATGCCAAATTGCGAAGAGAGCTGGGTAAAGGAAATTAGAATATTACGGAAACATAGTGTTGCGTATGAAAAGTGAACTTTCTATGGTTGGATTACATACATTATTCGAGGGGGCTGTCTGATAGCCTTTTGTCCCGGTTCGGACAGGAGTGTGCAGTGATGAATCCACCATCTGAGGCTGATTAATTGATAAACCTTGCTGCTTCAATCAGCATAAATACACGATCAATCCATAAAAAGAAAAATGCCACAGACACATATAATACATACTCATCCAAACTGATACATGCAAATATCACGTTGAGCAAAAAGTTTATTTGTTCTACTCATGAATACCTGTGATTTGGATTTCTGCGATTGGAAATATATGCAATCAATAAAGTGAAAAGTAACCTCATCAAAGCTTGTAACAGGCCTGAAAAGAAAAAAAGGAAAATCTACAGTGTATAAGACCACCAACTGCTATTGATAAACAAAACTTTCACACAGAGGTCCAGCGAGTGTAGCATAGGAAGCCAAACATTTCTTAAAAATTAAACACTTCCAGAACCACTATGTCAATTTGTCTATCCATATTGGTCCATAAATTACAGAAACTAACATTTGACATATAAGAGTAGTTCAGCAGGTAAAAGAAAAGCAGTATGGCAGCTACAATGTCAAATATAGGCTCACCAGAAATTAAAAGAACTTTAGCTTTTTCTATCCTAGAATAAAGTGAATTCATTTTTTCTAATAGTAAAACTATTGTCAGTGATCTATTACCTGCAAAACCATAATTTTGAATTCAACCAAAAAAAAAAAAAATTGCCCTGACTTCCTCAGAAGAAGATGCCTCCAAGCATCAAGTATCATTCAGTTTTTACACATTTTATAAATCTGTTAAGGTATCAGTTAGCAAATTAAGCCAATCAATACTTTTCTTGCAACATAACCACAGCAGAGCATCATCTGTTATACAAGTGATTCCTGATTTCAGAGCATGAATGTCATTTCATATAAACAAGAAGAGATACAAGGATTGAGGAAGAAAAAAAAAGATCAATACGCACGTGGTCCTAAATTCAAGTAACTGCCACAAAAAAAAAAAAAGAGAAGCTCTCTTAAGCTGTACCACACAATCTCATACAGCTATAAGGTTTGATATGTTCAACACTTCCCCAAAACAATCATCGGTACGTGGCTCCTGCAAATGCTATAACCAACTTTATTGGAGTGCAACAAGTAATTAAACAAGAGAAGTCATTGCTTTACTTTCTAAATAATTTACAAGCTATGGTAGTAGAACACAGGGAACATAGCAACCGAGCTGCTTCACAGTCACTCAATATTCATCTAGGCAAACAAATCATCATTTTGTTCTCCAAATCAAATATCCGATTACAACATCCTGAAATCCATAAAAATTGCTCTCTTATGCTAACTTTAGTCAGTATCAGAACCAAACCTAATGTCCAGACTAATTACAAGGACCAGATTGTTAATCACACAGTACAAAGACAACTTTCAAACTGGTTAGTAATCAGTAAAAGCCATCCCCAAATTTCCTTGTTTCACTGGAAACATACAAAATGTAAATTAAAGTAACAAAGCTAGTCAAAAGAGTTGATGAGGTATCTGAGGTAATAAAGAGCATATGTAATAGAAAAAATTTACAAACACATAAGTACTTGGTCAAGAAAGCAGTTCAATCACAATATATACAGAGAACCAAACTATTTCATGTCCGTACCTCACAGAGAAGGCAACTAACTGCTTTTTGCCTTGAAAGCTTTTTAAGTGCCCATTGAGACGAACATACATTCCATCTCTATTTCAAAGTTGAAAAAAATCAGAAGAGCATTTTGATGTTATGGCATATAATCATAGCATAAATCATTAATAAAAACTTGCAAAACTTGATAATATAAAAATAGAAACAGAGAAAAAAATTAAAGAAAAAGTCTCACTCCACAGCCTCCATTTCCTTTGTGTCGAAAACCTCACTTGCCCTATTAAAATAATTGAGCATAAATCAAAACAAAAAATCCGCATGATTTGAAGAGGAATTAAAAATTTCTGGAATATATATAGGCATTTTCACGTTGTGTTTTTTTCTCCTCTGTAAGCATCACTTACATTGACTTATACTCCAAGAAGAAAAAAAGCATTTCAGAAGTTCTAACTAAATAACAAAAGCATACATCAACTGCGTTTACATTGCAAAACATATATTACCATCTTTTGCATACAATTCGCCCAGTTCCATCATCTAGAGTGAAAGTGACATCAGAAGCCCTTTCTTCTTTGCTGAACACCATTCCAACCAACGTAACCTAGATCAGCTCGATTATTGAAAAAAAAAAATAATGATGAATCACACTATATATCTCTGATATTAAAAATAAATTCTCAAAAGTTTTATATATTCAGAATATGTAGAGTGTCGTGAGAGGATTAGAGGATTAGTACATTGGTGACCTCTGAACCGTTGACCACAAAATTTGATTTGTCATCACCCGACTGCGACGCTTCACTTATCAGCTTCACTGTCAATGGAACCAACCCTTGGGAATCACGACTCTGCAAAAGATCAAACAATAAAAGCTCCATAATCGGTCTATTTCGTTACAGTTTCTCAGCAATCAGATAGTAAAACAAAACCCAAAACATGTAAAGAGAGCCTTGACAAGATCTCTCCGTTGATTAACAAATTATCGAGCACTAAATAGTCAACAAACTATGATTAATTCAATGGTTGCGAATTTCATAAACCAAGCAACAAGTATAAGAAATAATAAACACAAACACGTAATTGAAGAGTAAAAACTTACTCTTGCTGGAGAAGGATTGGAATCCGCTGGCTGAGATTGAGACGGCATGAATCCGCCGCCGGAGAAGGCGGAAGTCGCGTCAAATTGGGTGCTTGAAAACATTTCTAACTATCAGAGCGCGAAATTCTTTAGGTTTGAGGAATTAAATTTTATTTTCAAGTTTTCGTCAGGAGATTTTATGAGTAGATCTTATGGTTTTAGGGTTTTTCCCGCCAATTGGCTTTACATTTCCCGCGTGTGATTTGGGCTGGGCTATAGACAATAGTTAGTCCAGCCCTTCTTCCTTCATGGGATCTGAAATCTGATAAATCGATCAAGATCTAGGCTCCGTTTGATTGCCAATTGGGAATACTACTTTTAGTATTCCCAAAAAAGTTAAACAGTAAAATACCCAAAAACTTTAATTTTTAGGAATACTACTCCCAATATTATTCAACCTTTTTTAAACCCTTTAAATTTGATAATTTAATTAAATACCCCTAAATATTTTTTTTAAATTACAAAAACACCCCAGTAATTCATATTTACCAGATTCCGGCCACCACTACCGGAAAATGGCCGGAATCTATTAGGATGGCATACTACCGGCTGAATCTGGCAGGTAGTGCGTCGATCTAGCCTTTTCCGGTCAGATCCACGGTGGATCTGGCCGAAAAATGCCAGATCTAAGGCCAAAGATCTGGCCGTTGACGGCCAGATCTTTGGCCGTAACGGTTTATAACGACGGCCAACAAACAGTCATCGTTGACCATCAACGACGACCGTTTGTTGGTCGTCGTTGACGAGAAAATACGGCCAGATCCACCGTGGATCTGGCTGGCAAAGGCCATATCGGTGCACGACCGACAAGATCCAGCCGGTCATGCGCCAATACGGTGAACCCGGCCACCCTCCGGCGGTGGTGGCCGGCTGTCCGTATTTGACAATAGGTTGGGGGTGTTTTTGTTAACTTTTAAGATTTTATTATAGGGGGTGTTTTGTAAATAAACAAATATAGGGGGTATTTTATTAATTTATAAATTCTACATCGTAATACCTACCCAATTCAACTTTTTTTTAACTTTTTTCAGAAAACTTTTCCCAAAAACACCCAATTGTGAACCAAACGAAGCACTAGTCTGTATGGATCCTTTTAATTTTTGATTTGGATTCTAATTTCATACTCCCTCCGTTCCTATATAAGTGTGTTTTAAGTTTTTACAAAGTTTTTAATGAATCAAAAATTGTACAGATAATTGACTTTTTTCTCATATTGCAGGTGAGAAAATTTTGTTTTTCCCGCTGCAACACGTGTGTGAAATATTAAAATAAAGAAAGACAAATTGTGAAAGAGAGAAGATGAGGGGAAGAGATAGATAAAGAGAGAGAGAGGAGTGTGAGGCAGGGTAGAGAAAAAAGTGAAGAAAGGAGATGAGGGGCGGGGTGGAGAATGAAGATGTGAGTCAGAAAACATTGAAAGAAGATAACGTCATTTATTTTAAAAAAATTATTACCCTCAAAACGACTTTTATTTTGAAACTGAGGGAGTAGTAAATTTATGAATAACTAATATTAAATATTTTTTAGTAAATTTAAAAATTGTTTAGTTTTAGGTTTCACTGTCTTGGACTATTGCCACACATTTGACTATCTAATGCTTCAGTGAAATACCAATTAGATTAAATTAAGGGATATTACTTAATTATCCATAATTTGTACCAAAACAAAATGACCAACTTCCATGACCCTAAACCAAATTAGCCAACTGATTTAATTTATTACCATCATATCCCTCTTTATATACACTCTAAACTTCTCCCTAGGGTATGCAAGAATTTAGGTTAGAATTAGAATCGACTAGTACCTAGGTTCTGGTTCTCAAAAATTGGAATCGGGAATTGGACTAAATAAAATTTATCAAAATATGGGGACCATTTGGAAATTTGACAATTCAATTGAACAAGCAAAAAATGAAAACACGAAATTCAATTTATGATTTGCAAAAGCCCTAAGTTCAATTCCATATAAAGAACGCCACTGAACTTTGCAAAGCAAAGCCTCTATTGATAAGATGTGTTACATGGTGAGAGCTTGGAAGGCCGAGATGGAGTAAGCAAAGGAATCTGAGGCTGAAATGGGGTCGCTTTTGTTGTTTTGTTATAAGAGGTGGAGGAGGAGATGATACCTGATTTCTCCACAGTTTTTTTAGTGGTGGGGAGGACGGAGAGAAGGAATGAGGGGGTGAAGAAGATGAAGAGGGGTGGCGGAGGAAGAGGACATGAGGGAAGTAGAAGAGGTGGTGGAGGGAGCGATATCAATGGAGGAGAGGAGGAAGATGGTAGGGTCGAGGGAGTGGAGGAGGTGAAAGATGTTTGAGAGCATTAGCATGAAGACTTTGGCCATAGTGCCTTTTGATTTTAAACAAAACGAACTCTTTTATGATTTTAGGGTTATGGTTTAGTTGAAAGTGATGGTTGCGGTGTATTTGTAAATTGTTGCAAACAATTGGGGGTGTATTTGTAATCTTTGCAAGGTATATTTATCATTTTTGTGACTAATAAAGGTGTATTGTAATTTTTTCGAGTATGCGAAACTGGAACCGAACCTATGTTTTAGGTTTTAGTTCCAGATATTTAGGAACTGAAATCAGCTGGTTCCAAATCCTAGAAGTCGACCAGTTCTAGTTCCATGGGATTTAGGCAGGTACTTGGACCTGCCCACCACTACTTCTCCCTTTTTCATCACTTTCTTTCAAGTTTTGAGCTATCTCATGTTATATGTATCAAATTGATTAGCTATATAGAAAAGGATTCCAAAACTAAATTAAGGCAAGACAATTTACTTATATATATATATATTGAAGTTTGTCTTGTCAAGAAGTAGTGTAAAAAGATTTAATTGAAAACTTAAATCTTAATTTTACTGCTTTAGGAACACTAGTAGTAATTTAGTGATATTCTTGAATTTATATATATCTAACAAATCAATTCAAACTCAATTTCAATTTCACTGATTTATAAATTATAAAATAAACCCGGTCCAAAGCAAGTCCATTGTCATCTCGGGAAGCTTATAATGCTAAATCACGTTTTGTTCCCCAAAAATTTACATAAAATACCAAATACATGGCACTGCTCCCGATATTCCTAGTTTCATAGCACTGTTCTTTCAAGAAAACCCAAGTAACATTACCATATAAAATTTCAAGTTAAACAAAGTTCAATCCCTCGCACTTGGATTTTGTCTCTAAGTTTAACCATCTAAACAGAAAACCATATGAACAGACTTCAAAGAAAAAATAAAAATAAAGAATATAAGGCGATCTTACATGCTTCACCAAACTCCAGCCAAGTTGCAAAATTAAGACTGTTAACCACGTGCAAACTTGTAGTGAAATTCATCAATAGTAGAATAGATCAAACCTTCATTTTCAAGAGATACAATTGAATCCCTGGTGCACAATAGAATAAATTAAATTAATAATTAATCACTCAAGATGGAAGCTAGAAAGAGAGGCATGAGTGAAAAAGATTACATGATCTTCTTCTCAGGTATTTCAAATGCTGGGAAAGTTCAGCTATGTGCACTCCCCGTTCCCGTTCACTGCAAACAATAACCAATCCCTAAAGCTTAATAAAGTGGAGGGAAATATGCACCAAGTGTATTAGTTAAGACAATCAGATGAACTTCTACATAATCACATTGTTTCTAAATCCCCAAAGCTTTAACAGTAACAACAAAAGCTCAGTAAGACCAAACAATAAACCTGGATAGGAGGTGGAAATTAACTTGAAGAAATTATACCGAACAAAGTGAAAAACAGTTCTCAAAGGAAAAAAAAAAAAAAAAAAAAAAAAAAAAAGATTTTCATACATAACTTGGCAATTTTCTGAAGCAAGCAATGGAAGGGAAGGGAAATAGCTCTATCGTAAGACATTTTGGTGTATGACAAACCTGCTTGAAGGTTGCTGCAGATAGTCCAGAATCAATTGATCACAGTCCTTGAGTCCATCATGCCAAATTGCGAAGAGAGCTGGGTAAAGGAAATTAGAATATTACGGAACATAGTGTTGCGTATGAAAAGTGAACTTTCTTGGTTGGATTACATACATTATTCGAGGGGGCTGTTGAAGCCTTTTGTCCCGGTTCGGACAGGAGTGTGCAGTGATGAATCCACCATCTGAGGCTGATTAATTGATAAACTTGCTGCTTCAATCAGCATAAATACACAGATCAATCCATAAAAAGAAAAATGCCACAGACACATATAATACATACTCATCCAAACGATACATGCAAATATCACGTTGAGAAAAAGTTTATTTGTTTTACTCATGAATACCTGTGATTGGATTTCTGCGATTGGAAATATGCAATCAATAAAGTGAAAAGTAACCTCATCAAAGCTTGTAACAGGCCTGAAAAGAAAAAAAGGAAAATTACAGTGTATAGACCACAACTGCTATTGATAAACAAAACTTTCACACAGAGGTCAGCGAGTGTAGCATAGGAAGCCAAACATTTCTTAAAAATTAACACTTCCAGAACCCCTATGTCAATTTGTCTATCCATATTGGTCCATAAATTACAGAAACAACATTTGACATTAAGAGTAGTTCAGCAGGTAAAAGAAAAGCAGTATGGCAGCTACAATGTCAAATTAGGCTCACCAGAAATAAAGAAACTTAGCTTTTCTATCCTAGAATAAAGTGAATCATTTTTTCATAGTAAAAAACTTGTCAGTGATCTATTACCTGCAAAACCATAATTTTGAATTCAACCAAAAAAAAAAAAATTGCCCTGACTTCCTCAGAAGAAGATGCCCTCAAGCATCAAGTATCATTCAGTTTTACACATTTTATAAATCTGTTAAGGTATCAGTTAGCAAATTAAGCCAATCAATACTTTTCTTGCAACATAACCAGCAGAGCATCATTGTTATACAAGTGATTCCTGATTCAGAGCATGAATTTCATTCATAAAACAAGAAGAGATACAAGGATTGAGGAAGAAAAAAAAAGATCAATACGCACGTGGTCCTAAATTCAAGTAACTGCCACAAAAAAAAAAAAAAGAGAAGCTCTCTTAAGCTGTACCACACAATCTCATACAGCTATAAGGTT